TGAAACATTAGGCACTATGAAATTGTATCGTTACATAATTGGTAAAAACAACAACAACAACATCAACAACAAACAGGGTTCTTGGCATACATATGAAATACTTTACTTAGATATTGTGTAGCTCTGCCAGTGTTTTCTATTTCATAAGCATCCCGTATCTGAAAACATTCAGCATAGGATTAGATAATAATTCAGTAGCTTATCATCTGAAAAGTTCTTGCTCAGGTAAGGATTTGATGAATCTTACTGTGATTTAAAGGCATAACTTAAAGATAGATTAGTTAGTGCAGTAAAATGATCTTCAAAACACAATAAAGGCAGAACATTAATTTGGTTAACTTAATGTATTCTATACTTTTTCTTTTCTTCTTCTTGGAGAAGGTCTTTAAAAAGTCATATCTAGACTTGTTAGCGTAGTTTTCAGCAGACATTTAAAACCTAGTCTGGATAGAAAAGCAGAAAAGACAGAGGGTGGTATTCCATTTCCACATATTTGTAAGGCCTGTGTAGCTCCTAAACTGTCCATACAGAGCAGAATTTTCAGAAGTGGTCTTTTGCTTCTGTCTGTATAACTAATGATTTTTTTGGTTCTCTCCTTTACCTCAGGAAATTTAAACCTACTTTTCCAATGTGCTATTTCATAGCTTAATTACTGGATTATAGGGTACTTCAGGCAATATGTTACAGGTGGTTGGTACTATTTTAAGTAAATAGACGTTCAGCAGTATTGATCTGAAATAGAGTTTTCTTACCTCTTCAGCAAATGTCATAATCCCCACAGAGTGTCACTGTCTCACTCTTTTGTTTGCTTTCAGTGAAAATGGAAAAAGATCAGGAAAGAACCACAGGAGATCCCATGAATTTTTTAAAGTATTTTAAAGATAGATTTATTACTGAATAGATCTATTTTAACAAAATAGTTTGGTAAAAATCACATATTTCATAGGCAGTATTTCCTTTTGAAATTTTAAATTTGGATCTTGGATAAGAACAGGAGTAAGTTGTCAGGAATTCTGTTCACAAACCACCTTATTTTGGTAGCTGTGATAATATTTCCTTTCCTTGAGGTCTGTTTTGTACGGTACATGGTCCAGCTAGAAGTTCTTATGTTTCTGGTGAAAACTACTCATCATTAAGGTATTTTCCACTGGCCTTCAAAATTTAAATATGTGTTTTACCAAACCTAAGTAAACACCACTAAATTAAACAAAATCTCTATGCCAGCTGGATATGCAATGCAAAGCTTTCATCATTTATTTATATTTTTTCTTCAGTTTAAATGCTTCTTGCTAGCCCTGTACCCTCAATTACATTAACAGAGTAGGTATTGGATTAAACCGTATCATGGACAGAGTTGTATTGTTCTTTGCTTTTTTCCTGTTTGTAACCAGCAAATCCCACTGTTCAAACTGTTGTGCTAATTTGTTTATGTCTCATGTTGGCATAATGACAATTAAACACATCATGGGCATGTACAAGCCAGAGCTTTGGAGTCTTGAAACAATAGTGGTCTTCTGACTGCCAGTAGTCTTGCTCCCTAGAAAAATCATTTGCTAAGCTGTGTTTTCAAGTGTGACTTGGTTTTTAAACTGCTATAACAGAAGAGTTGATCAGTTCACTAAAGAGGACAGCCCTTGAATACATTCCTATTTTGAAAAAGATTGTCTCTTTGTGTTTAGATGTTGCTTTGCTTTCTGTGTTTTTACTACTGTCTACATTATAGATAGCGAGGATATGTGTTGGGGAAAAAGCCCAGAAAGATGAAATGTTAATAAAATATTAGTAAAATTGCCAATAACCTAACTGTTTAAATTATCAACATTGTTGACTGGAGGCAGTGATAGGATGGTCATGTGGCTATGGCACATGGCTGGAGCCTCAGAAATCAAGTCTTGTTTTCTCTTCATCTTGTCTGTTTCCCAATTTTGCAAAATAGCATTTCAATGTCAGTAAGATGCCAGAGGCTAAATTAATGTGGAATATATCTGATCTTAAGATTGAAAATGGTAGAAAATGCAGTGTTATAATGGTTTTATCACAAAATCAGCTTAAAATATGGAAAATATGATATATCTGAAAATCAGTATTCCATTTTTTTAAATTTTCTGTCAGTGTGAGGATTGACTCTTAGAAGTATTGCTGTTTGTTTTTTTATATGTCGTAGCTTGGGTGAATTAAAAAGATGTGTATGAGAGAGAGAGGGAGAGAGAAGTGTACAATGTTTAAGTGTATTTTATGCTAATTATTGAACACGGAAAGGAAGCCACACAACAGCATGAGAACATTTCAGTAGAATGTGATTTCTCTCCTAAGATTTTGTTTTGTTTTCCCTTGTTTTACAGTTTGCCCAGCTGGTGTCCGTCTACAAATCTCTAGGTCCAGAGAAGTTCCCTTTAATTGAGCAAACGTTCTATCCAAATCATAAGGAAATGGTACGTGCAAATACCAATACTAAATTAACTTAATGTCTCTGTAAAATAGGAACTGTAAACACACATGACCTATTTCTCCCCTTTACTGTGCATTAAAAAAAAAATAATAAATTTTGGAAGCTTTTAGAGGGGTGAGACTTGGTGACCACTTGAAAACATTTTGGTGGTTAACTGGAAGATTTTCCTATTTAAAGGTAGTCATTTTCAGCTAATCAGCTTCAGAGAAATATTAAAAAGATTAAATGGTTATAAAGACACACAACAACTGTTAACGTGCAAGGGGAACTTTTATGGTTTGTTTCAAACCAATTCTTTATGTTATGTTTCAAGTGTCTATTATCTGTGTTGATGATGTACCTGTAACTGTGGAACTTCATTTAAAATCAGGGTGTTTATGATTTGTATCTTCTTCATATACCTGAGCTGACATAATTTGATTCCCAGTCTTTTATACATATAAATGTAGTCATGAAAGTGGCACTCATAATCTTCACTTACTTTATTTTTTCTTAGAACAAAATTATTCTAGAGATTTTAGGTCTAAGTGAACACCTTTATCCTCAATAGTTTCTGAAGACACATAGGAATAGGGTGCATCACTGTCATTGTTTTCCCAGAACTGTTTCTGAGCGTGTAAATAACATAGTTTTCTACTTATAGATGAACATACAACTGTGATTATTTCTGTGCCTGCATATGCAGGATCTACATGAACCAAAGAAAACATCATTTCTTACACTGCACACATTTTTTTCTTTCTTATGCTTTCTAAACAGAAATTCTTTCCTGAGTGTATATTTTTTTCAAATGGAAATATTTTCAGCACTGAGAAACTAGAAGGAGGTTATTTGCTGATTAAATAAACAAGTATAAAGACATCAATTGTTTTTAGTGGATAATCCTGATCTTGCCATTCAACATCTATCACACAGCTGTGATTAAAGTGCATCAGTTACCATTGCAACATCATGATAAAATACATTATTTATTTAAGGTCCCCAAGGTGTAATTGCTGTGTGTCTGTCTTGAGACTAACACTTCATTGTTGTAGGTGCATCTAAGGCTTTCCAAGTTCTCTTCCTTGTTCCCTTTAGACTATAAACTCACAGAATTTACTCTCCTTTTGTCACATATGACACTTAGGAAAAGAGCTATCACCACAGGTACATATTTAGAACGTTTGCTACATAGACATTTTGGAGAGCCAAAGGAGAACGGTTATTTATCTGGAGCAGCAGAGCTAAGTATTGGATAACCAATACTTTGGGAAGATGTTTTTGTTAATGGATTTGTCAGGAAAATATACAACTTTATAAAATTTATATTTTTCTAATGCAAAAGAAGAATTTTATGCCTTGCGGATTCTTTGGAACAGGTGGAGCAGAATTACAACTTTTGTTTTTCAATACATTTTTTCTAAATAATAGTGAGTTTTATATCTGTTTTCCTGAGAATGGCCAAGATTAAAGCTGTTTCATATTTTTCTTCACAAAATGTATTGTTTTTCATTATTTTATCAGCTACTAGTCATTATTTTATTGAAAAAGCGGGCTTTTTAATGCATTTCTAAATTGTAATACATAGAACAAGGAAAATTTCCTATAATTTGGGCCAAGAATTTATGTTTGAGATTGAAATTTTTATGTAGTATGATCATTTCTAGAGAAAAGTTCTTTCAAGATCTACCTGTTAAATTGCAAACTGCTGTCTTGAACAACTCGTTGAATAGAAATTCAGTAATAGAACACAAACAAGCAAATGTCTGTATGAGTTTATATGGCACATTTTGCTTGTTAACATAATATAAGAAATATTTGAGTGTTTTTTCCCCCTCTTCCCTTAAGATATTTTGTTGTTCTACATTGCTTATTAATGTCTGAACTGATTTGTATTTTGCTTGAACTTTTGAATGCTAGTATTCTCCATGTCTGAGATAAAGATATATATATTTTTGCATATTTCTACTCAATGAATGTTACGTCTAGAGAAACTAATCCCTATGTCAGTATTGCATTGCCATACATTGTTCAAAGGTGCTGTACCATCTGATTGTGTTGAAGCTCATTCATATGATTTTTCCTTCTGATGAAATTCTCAGGGAACTTTATGACTTGAAAAATAATCAGGCAGCTTGGTATGAGATAGCATTTTAATTGACTTTCCAGAATGGGTGGTAAGATTATTTCAATATCAGTTTTATTAGTTGATGAATTGAAATAATATACTACTTTAAGTTTATTTTTTTTTTTTAAACACCATTGACTAGCCTCTTTTGCATTTACTCTTACAGAATTTGTTTTTTACCTTTTAATTTTTTGAAGTTCCTCTTGTGCTCATACATTATGTATTTTCCCCCAAATTGTAACCTATGTAACTCTCCCTTTCATCCAGTGCAAACCACTTGGGGGCAGGGGAGAAAGCAGGGAAAAACTGCAAATCTCTGTGAACTGAGTTTTCACCAAGCATGCCAGTGGTTCTTCTACTTCTTTTGCTTCTTTCATACTCTGGTGATCATTTGTACTGAGTCTTTAGAAGGCAATAAAAGGTAAATAAACAAAGATGCCATTCTTTTGTGTAAAACTGTAGCTGCTTTAATGAAACACTTTTTGAAACAGAAACATTCATCTCAGAGTGATTCAAACTATATAAAATGATGTAAGGCCTTTGAACTCATTGCTGGTTGAGTCATATTACAGCTTTTCCCTCAGTAATTTCCCTTTATTTCACTACATTCCCACCTCCTATGTTCTTTCATGAAAGAAAATATATATTTTTTTCAATAAAATTGTTGGGCAATTTTAATTAAAATTTAACTGGAACATGTAAGGAAAAAAACAGCAATATTAAAGCATTTTATTTTTTTCCATTCACCTGTACACTCTCCATTCTCCAATCCTTTTCTCTACTCTTATCATAAGTCACTATTTTCATATTAAAATCAAGGGTTGTACCAGGCCGTATTTCTTCTCTGACCTCACATACAGTTTCAGGAACTAGAAATAAAATGTAAAAGTAACCTGCTGTTAGTAATGTATTGGTGCTACTGCAGTAAAAAATCTTGATAGGAAAAAAAAAAAAACATAATCAGAAAGCTGCAATCTATTTCATAATCCTTAGCAGTGCTGAATCTCAGGGAAAATAAAAAGTCATTCTGAGGGTTTATTTTTTTAACGCTTTTCTTGCCATATTTATTGTTAAGAAAAACAAGACAAAAAACATCTTTTTACCATCTGTTATGGGGAGTTTGGCCAGATTTGTGTTCAGACAGAAGTCAAACTGGACAGCCAATAATTCTGAAACACCTCATATTGGATACTTTATGGCAGGTCAAATATAAAATGTTTAAAAAACTAATTATAGCATATAATTCATATTACAGTTTGTTCATAAATAATTAAGAAAACATTTATTTTTACAATGTATATAAAGAAGGCAATGAGATTTGGTTTAGTTATGTTTAAGGTCTATTCACTATAAAACTGAAACAGAAACATCTATGTTTAGTTGAAAAACAGAAAATATCTGTTTACTGCAGAGTGCTATTCAAACTGCACCATTACATCAAAATGGAATTGGAAACACATGCTACACTGTACATGTAATGAATATTAATTAGCCATGTGCTTAATTCAGACCTTGTATGGTTATTAGGCTCTTGCAGGCTCATCTAGGAATTGTTTTGGTTTCACATGAGGAAATTGTCTGGTTTTTAAATATATTTATAAGCTGGTAATATAAATGCACAGCCCTTAGGACTAGTAATTAGCACTGCCAATATTGTCTTTGCAATATGAATTCCTTTTTGGAAGAAAAGTCGCCTACATATTTCATACAGGAACAAGTAATTGTATGTGTATATATATTTTATGTTGATGGCCAAAATTGGCCTTTGGTAATTTTTTATTTCTCTCCAGCAAAGCAGAAAACTAATTTGACTTTATATTTGGCAGCACAAATATATGATGTCTTAATTTAGGATTGTAAATTAAAACACCCAAACTGTTTTACAGTAAAATAAAAAGTGAATCATTGACTATTAAGGGAAATAGGCAACTCTTCCTCAAAGGAATAATGCTGTGCATTCCTGCTGGCGTTGCAACATTTGCGCTTCCATCAAAGTGGACTTTGATAATATTTTACTTATTGGTAAATAGATAAGGGGATAGATAACAAAGATATCTTTGTTGATTTGTAATAATTACAGTATGCTGCATTCTGTTTCCCTGGAAAGCCAAAGCAAGATAAAAAAAAATAATAATAATAATAAAAAAAAATCATAAGAGGTTATAAAGGTCATAAAGACTAGTTTGAAATCCTGTTCTTGTCCAGGAAAATGTGGTGTCAATCAGTACTCTCCAGCTTTCCAGAATGTATGCAGCATGGTACTTCAGGTTTAACTCCTTCTATGTTAATGCTAGATAATATCTTTTCAGTAGGGTGAACTGAAACATGATAGGGTTTCAACATTTTTTTTCTATTTATTTAGTTTTACAGTCAAACAAAATATAAAAGCCCTTATGTAAGTACCATTTACAATCTCCAGCAAAATAGATTTTTACTTTGTTGCTTTTCTGTAAGTATTAATTTAGCCACAAGAAAAGTAAATAATATTCATTCTCACAATTGTCTTCTCAAAGTTGCCATTGTCTGTCATTTAAATATGGATTAATGCAATTGTCAAAATAACAGAAACACTAGAACAGAGTATGTCACAAAAATCATTTATACAGTCTTTTGCAAGTATACATTTTATATCCAATGACATATCTTAGTAAGACAATTATGTAGGACACGCTGAATTTTAAGCTCAAAATACACCTTCATTGAATTGAATAGAATTAGAAATGCCCATTCACTTAAAGAAATGCATATGTTCTTCACAATTTTAAGTCTTGATGATTTTTAAAGTTCTCAATGACAAATAGACTAAAGGCACTATGTGTAAAACTGGACCCTCGAGCCATCAGGCAATAACAGCTCTAACTCTTCATGAATCCATAGGCTGGAAATGTCACAGTATTTGTGTTAAACTTTCAAATGGACCTGATCTATCCACATGAGAACAGAACTGTCTAAATATTTTTCTCTGCCCATTGTTCTAAATTCCTATATGAGGAACAAATGAGAGTAATCTTTAGGTAAAATTGGAATGAAGTTAAAGAAATCCAATAGGGAAAGTTAAACAGAGTAAAATATAGGTTGTAGCTGTTACAGATCCATAACCTGTGTGATGGTTCTCATCCAGTTTCTAGAACACAAGCAGTTTGTCAACTACCTAAACTTTGGCATTTACCAAAATAATTTCTTCAGTTTTACCACTGTGAATTGAGTTACTTTTGTAAACTTAAATATGTGTGAGATTAGCTATTAACTACGGTAATCAAATTGTAAAAGTTTAGACTCTGAGAAGCTAAAAGATAAACTATGTTGCAACACTTCATTAGGGTAAGTTGTAACACTTCTCTAGGATGAGTCAGAGTTTAAAAATTTGTCATGACAGATGTCAATGGGCATTCATGAATGAAAAGACATTAAGGCAAATTTAATGTATTATTAAATATGAACAAGTATTTGAGAGCTTTTCAGGAATCACTTGCACTGTAAGTTATTAAATATCTACTGCATATATTTTTACATGAGCTTCTAAAGCCAAGGCTTTAACAGTCCTGAAGTAAAATGACCTAGTCACACATTTAGAGAGGTGATATCAAGTACTACAGCTGCAGTGATGATGGACATGTAAATTTCTGTAAATATAAACAGTTTTCTCTTGTCATTATTTATGTTGGTTCTATAAAATGCTGAAGCATTAGAACATCTGCCTTTATAGTCTGCAAGGTATAGCTAGTTCACAGGAATATTGAATTGGATAAGGGGATTTTGATTATCAAGGCTGTGTTTTAACTTAATTATCTATGAAAGTTATGACTCTGTGAATAAAGAAACCTGTGACATAAGTAACATACAAAATATGGAGCACAGATTGGTTTAACCACTGAAGTGTTTAACTTGTTTTGACAGGTAAGGAGAAAAAAAAACACAAATTTTTGAATCTTTTATAGCAAATTGTTATAATACTTTGCATATACACTGTACAATAATTCTTTTGTATCAGAAGACTTTCATACAGAAAAAAATAATAAAACATTCCTTAGTTCATCAGAAAGGTTTGGAATAAAACATGGAGCTCTTTTAATTTGTAGATTGACAAAAATAGGGAATGAAATTCTGACCATTCTTATGTTCTTGTACATTCATATTGGTTAAAAAAAAAAAAAAAAGTTGTTATGCCTTAGAGAACACAGAGAAGCATTCTCAGCTTCAGCATCTCTGTATAAGCTTAACTTTACAGAGTAGCTACCTCCAGGAGATTTGTTCCTCTTCTTGCCTGAGTGCCAATTCCAGACTCATACTTTAGCTGTACAGAACAATTTGTTTTTGTTTCTAAGCAACAGATACATTAGGTGATAGCAGTTCAAAGCTGTGAGCGTGCAATGTTTGATGGAATTAGACTCCAAGGCTTTTCAGGAAGTCATCACATTAAGGTTCGCTGATATCAATAAACTCTTTCTCTGGAGGAGGGCCACCTCGGTACCAGCTGCAAGTGCCATCACTTCTTTTGATACAGGCATAATGCTTGGCTTGGTGCCCATATAGCTTTCTTTCTATCAGCCAGTCTGTCCAGAGGCACTCATTTGGTGCAGTGATCGAGCAGGGCACCATGTAGCAGGTAGTAATCTAAATGTGAAATAGTACATTAATTCAGTATATTTGTGGTTTCTCAAGAAAATATAAATTATATGGTATATAAGAGTACAGTTCCCAACAGTGAAAAATGATATTGGCTGTAAGGTGAGCTCCACTATTAAAGAGTATTTTGTGCTATACTTACTTTACAGCCACAGCCCATTTGATATCTCTGATTAAGACTCTTCTTTTGAGACAAGGATAAATCATCCCATGGTTCAATGTAGTTGCACAAATGGATGAAGACTTTACCATCTTTTAAAATTTGGCCTACAGCATGAAAAAAATAAGAAAAAATAAGAAAAATAAGCAAAGAAAACAGTTTTCTGAATGCTGAAATAAATTGAAAAGATGTCCAAAGTTTTTAACTAATTGCACCAAAGTAGTCGTAGACTTTTTTCCATGGATGTTATTAAAACTGTTAGAACTATTCTGATGAATAAATGCTAAAGATTTAGCAAGGATATTTCTCACAAGATGCTGATAAACTGCCAGGAAGGGATGGATGCAAATTTGGGTAGTATGTTAAACCAGGTTACAGGACTCCATAGAAAAATCTGTAGTTACTTACACCACCAAATCTGCGTATGCATAGGTATGTGTTGTGTTGTTAAACATGTTTGTATTCATAGGAAAATCAGTAGGTTTGGTTTAAAAAGAACAATAATGGCATAGTTTTTATTTACTAACTATATAGTTACTGACTTTGACTTCCTCTGAAACTGCTTTAAGATCTTCCAGTGAAGGATGGAAAGCATGCAATATTACAATATAATTGTGGCTTTACACAATTTGTACATTTCATTCTGTTTGTATTATTTAGACAGTACATAAATATATTTTTACAAGAGCATATTTTTGCAAAGTCAATCAAATTGTACATTGAGCAGTTACTTTTGTTCTTATAGGTACATTGTTTTTTTTGACTCTTACCTGTCAAAAGATATTGTTTTTTGTTGTTAGCTTCTAGTTTCACTCCACAGAGTGATGAATCAAAAGGAGTATAGACGTACTGGACATCCTTGAGCTTTTCAAATCCTTTAAACATCTGAAAATTATCAGAAAGTAAAAGTCAGTAATGGAAAACAAATATGAAAAAACAGTTGCAAGCAACAAGTGGAAATATATGGTGCACCTCTTGAAAAATGACTCTTGAAGTCTGAACTTTGATGAGAAAATACCGACAATTAGACCCCATCTCTACATCATATGAAATGTCCATTGTTTTCAGAAGGAAATTAGGTCCTTTTCAAATTTAGTTATAGTTTTGAAATCTGCTTTTTCAGTATTTTTAATGGATCTTTAAAGCTTTCTCTTCAAATTATATTCTACAGACATCTTTGTCTACACACATCTACATCTTTAAGAAATAACCCACACCATTCATTTTAAACAAAGTTCTGCAGTGTTGAATCTTTGAAGATGCAAAAAATTTTCTTGACATGTTTACATGGGAAATCTTATCTTGATCAGTGTAATGGTATATAACTTCAAGAACATGAAACATGTTAAGGAACAGAGCATTATTCTTATATTCTGTCATTAAAACATGCTGTTTTTCCATATCTAATTGATAATTTTCCCAATGCAACCTTCTCAAGTAACTGTTGGAAACTGGGATCTATTTAGGATTTATGGCCTTCAGCACCAAAGTGAATAAGCTCAGAATCAAAGCCCATGCAGTGCTCAGATTATCTGCTCCTTTACTAGCATTTCCAACTTTGAAAATAGTGCTTAAAGTAACCATTAGAAGATTAATAACAAATTTAGTTATATCCAAATCAGAGAGGGAACTGTTAGATGCTAATCAAATTCAGAATGCTTGTCATCACCAAATATGACATAACTGAAACCCCAGCACTCCAGGGGCCCTGTTTGGTTACATCATGCTGTGTGTTGACAGCTGTGGACGATTGCAAGCTTCACAGCTCCCAAGGGCAAACTCTCCCAATAGCAGCTGGCGTCTCTGGAAAATATGTTCACATTACCCAAGTTCTCTTGGGAGATTTAAATATTACAGGGCACTTCAAAATACATAGTAACATGTTAGGTTTTTTTTTGAAGCCTTAATTTACAAAACTAAAAAAAATATATAAATAAAAGTCAAAGGTGTTGTTATTGGTCTTCCCATCCAAAATTATTAGATGATAACTTGAAATACTTAGTAGAAGTAAACGTCCTCCAAAGCAAACAAACAAACAAAAACACAACAGTAGCCTGTACAGCAGTGAAAATATTAGAAAATGTATATAATGTTGATGGACAATGTATTTAATTTCATTAGATAAATGTAGTCTGATATGTCAGCCAAATGTAAAAGATCTCAAAAAGCTGGCCAGATGAGGAAGCAAGAGCAGGACAGGTATGTTGCACAGTATCAGTCTCATTGCTAGCACAAGCTTCAGGCAGACCTTCCTCATTCCCATTGAAAGCCATTTTTATACCTGCCATCTTTGGAAATGGAATCCCTAGCTTCTGCTACACTTGCACCCACGTTATTCAGGGTATGTGTGCTAGACAGCTGTGTCTAGTACAAAGTAACTGCATAAACTATGCAAGCATCCTCTAAATTGAGTTCTCTTCACGTTCAGAATCTTTTGATTGTGCTATACTGTGTAGTAGAGCACAATTTTTATTTGAATAACTCACCACCTAATAGAAATTAACTTAAGTGGCATTATGTGGACAACACAAATTGATTCAACAGTAATATATATGTATATATTTATATATGTGTCCATAACAACTAATACTGTAGGTCTGGTCAATATTGAAATGTGCATTTTGAGTTTCATTGGAGCTGCAGTTTGGTGTTTAATAAAAATATATAATAAATGAGGAGCTCCCTGCAGGCCTCATCAGGTTGGGGGTTTTTGGGGTTTTTGTTTGTATTGTTTTGTGAAATTCCAGCTCTGATCAGTCTCTGGTTTTGAGATAGATATAGGTTAGACCATTTCTTAAATTTTTAACCTTCTTTTTAATTTGGTAAATCGTATTTGATCTTCTCTGTCGTATTCTCTCAACTCCTAGAAGTGTGGAGTCTTCTGTAAAGGGTTAGAATAGGATGTCTTGACTCAATTCTACACTGCGGTATGCTCCATTTACTTCTGATGTTCTGGTAGGATTTATTGAAGCAAAATACAGGGAGGAGTCAGGAGAATTTACAGGCAAATATGAGAAATTATTCTGTAAGCAATCAAGAAAAGGAACTCTATAATAAATATATATATATATTAATATTTGACATATGCTGTTTAGATTGTTTAAAATGTTATCATCTGAGAGAAAAGATAAGAAATAGTGTGATAAGGTTATTGCTGTGATCAGAAAAGTTTTAAGTTATTCAGGAAACTGCAACGATACACAGTGTCACTGATCCATGTAGGTCAGACTTTGAAGACAGCTGACAAGCTATCCTTGTGATGTTATTAACACTTGCAAATTAAGCTTGAATCAGATTCTCAGAAAAAATCTTACGTCAGTCTCTGAATTGTCCCACTCCACTGAAGTAGCCAAATGTGGCCCATGGTGTACATCTACATTATTTTAGTTGATTCCTTTCCACCTACCAAATGTTTACAAGCATGAACTTCTATAAATTCCTCACTCTTTTTACTTTTTGTAGCTCAATGCAAACTTTACAGTGTTATCCATAACGCTTTTCTGATAAACTTGTTTATTTAAAAGTGAATATTTCTTGATAATTTTTCAGTATACCCGGTCCTGTTTAATTTTCACTGGTATGCCAACTGAGTTATATGCTCAGAACATAACTGATTATGTAACTTTTTGTCAGTTCTTGTAAGATACATGAAGTACAGATAAAGTTGCCTCTACATTTATATTTTTAAGTGACATGTTGAGTTTTCTAGCCATACCACCAAAGAATTGAAGTGTACAGAATCTCCTGTTGGCTCAACCACTTTGTATTGCAGAGATTTCAAAACCAAATCCTTTTATTGTGCTTGTTAGACAGTGAGCAAGGAGCTGGATCCCAACTCAGCTGAGCAGCCTGAGTGTGCCAGGGTGGAAGCCTCAGCTCCTCCTTCTTCTTAGCTGTCCTAGACAGAAGTAGGAATTTGAAGGGTGGGACCATTGTGACCCCCCTTGTCTTTAGTCTACGGTTGTGTGATAAACATCTTTTATTAGATAATAAACCTCCCTGATATGTCCAGTCCTAGCTGACTTGCCTTCTGAAGCACAGTGGAGTTAAATCAAGATCTCTTACTGATGCATGAGTTTACTGATGACCAGGTCTTCACTTATGAAATTTTGGGAGAAATTCCAAAGCAGCTCCAACAGTATGTGAATGGATTGAAGAAATTTCAGTGTGCTATTATTGAAGAATTGGTTTACAGGCTGGAAATAATAATCACACAAACTAGACTTCTCATTCTTCTGTGTTTTTTTTTGTTTGTTTGTTTGTTTGTTTGTTGTTTTTTTTCTGTGCTGAAGTATAAGATTTGTGTTTCTATTAATTTACTCACTTAAGAGTTGCAGGGTAGCAACATAAAATTAAAGTTCTAGTGGGGGAAAGAGAACTGGTATTTATACAATTATTTCTATGAAGAAACATTTGGAAATATTCTTAATAGCTGAAGAAGACAATATCGCAGATGGTAGAGTTTTTTGCTTTTATTTTAACAAGGCTAAATTATCTTTAATTAGCTTGTTGAAATTGCTATAAAACCTTAACAGACATCATGTATGATACTATGCTTGTGAATATTTTGAGATATTCTAGTTTACTTGAACTGATATACTAGTACAGGTTGAGGAATTGGATTTTTTTACTTATTATTTTTGAAAGCACATATCAATTCACAGTGATCTGCTGAAGTGTTCCAAGTAAATCACAGAAAGGTTAAGGGTGGAAGGGTCATACAAAATATTCCATGAAAAATTAGAGATGAAACTACCTGGAAAACTGGAAACAGAAGAAAGAAAGAGAAAAACAAAACAAAACAAACAAACAAACAACAACAACAACAACAAAAAACACACCATCATAATACATCATTTTAATTGAGAGATACTCTTTATGTATTCCAGAAACAGGTAGGTCATGACCTTTTAACATAATTGAAAGACTGATGGTAACTTCAATGGTACCAAGAAGTATCTTCTTAAAGAACATTAATGAATGTGTCTTCTTGTTGGAACTTAACAAATAATGGAAAAATCTTATGAAATTCTGAATCACTTTATTATTTTGTGTACTCCCACTTTTTGTTTGCTTTCCTAGCTTATATTCATACAATTGGATTTTTGTTTGTATGAATATCAGGGAAGGACTCCTGTTTCTGCAAATATTCCTGTCCACTTGTGAATGATCCTTGCTATTTGAGCTAGAAATGCTTTCCTCTGTTCAAAAAGTTTGTATCATCCAGTCAGAGTTGTAACACTGTAATGCTACATATGTGATCACGTTCTCACCAGAAACAAAAAATAAGTAAATATAGTGAATACCTATCCATAGACTTAATTGTTTTCATACAATCTTAATAAGGCAATTGTGAATAACAAAAGTATTATAAAAATACACTTATTTAGCAAGTAGCTGTTTTGACCTTCATGAGTTTTCCTTTTTTTCCCTTTTTCTTTTTTTCTTTTTTTTTTTTTTTTTTAATACTTCTCTAATTCTGTGTTGTTCACCTAACTCTAACTTTGGAGGCAGCTGGATCCTTTTGCAGCTTAAACCATTTGGGGTTTAATTGTATTTATATGCAGAGGTTATTGTTGAACTTCAAATTAGCTGAGTGATTCCATGTACCTTTATTTGTTTGATTTCATACCGGATCATTTTGTGGGTATCAAGAGGATCATCACTGGCAGGAACCACCTTTTCACTGGAGATTTTTGCTCGAATCACTGTAATAAAGGAAAAAAATATATATATAAATAAGCATACACCTGATTTTACAAGCAATAGCTAAAATTACATTTATCTTTAAAAATATATATTTTGATAGATTTTAGCTTTTTTTTTTTTTTTTTTTTTTTTTTTTTCACTTTAGGTAGAACTAGATTTTAAGGCTTGTCATTAGAGTGTGTTAAGAGCTGAAAATAACAAATGGGCTACCTATGATACAAGTACTTATTTTTGACAGAGGTATGTTCTATTGCTTACATATTTCCTGACATTTACATCCAAATTTTCAAAATCCTTAGTGCTACCCTTGAGTTAAAATATCCATAACTAAATTAGAGCAAGGCTAACTGTTGAGGTTCATGCTAATTATGGTTATGGCTGCTATGATTATGGACATTTGAAATAAGTTACCACTGAGTTTTAATAAAGTAGTCCTTCAAAATCTTTGAAAGACCTGAATACCATAACTTTTGATAAAACACTATGATCAGGCAGCAAGAGAAAAGGAAACTCCCATTGAAGACGTGATAGTTTATCAGTTAAATAGACTTGAAATTGACACTCAGAAAGACCAGGCTAGGCAAGATTAATGCATCAATTTTACTCACAAAATTAAGAAGACAAGCATACTTTCACTCACTTTCCTAAGACCATATATTTTGGCATTTTATTAGTGTCCTTAGTTGTGTTAACCTGTATAAATGAATTACTCCCTCTCTTGACACATTCCATTTATTTCCTATCCTCTAAGCAAGAAAGTAAGAAATTTTGTGATGGAGGAAATGATTTTTTCTCCTGTCTGTGTTTGTTTTAGGCATCTTTCATGTATATTGTTTAAAATATACCAGCAGTATTTGTCACAGAGAATAACGGCATTCTAAGAATATAGCATGTTACATTGAGGCCAGAATTTCTCAATGTACTTCTACATCTCCCAGAAACAGTATGGAGTCCAATTTTTGCTTGGTTCTGGATGGCTGCTATTGCAGCTTCTCTGCAGACATCCTACTTGTCAGAACAATCTGTATCTCCATGGAGGGATAACGGCAAGGGCCTTAGTAATCAACAGTCCAACCTCACTTCAACTGTAAATCCAATTCATAATTGTGCAAAGATAGATCTGTCCAAGGACATCCGCATTTTTGAAGGGAACAGTTGAATTCATTCTCTCTGTCATAGGTATGCTACTTTTTGCAGATATGACAGCGACTAGAAATTATTTCTCAGCATGGAAGCAGTTCACTGCCTCCCTGAGCCCCTGTTCCAGGATTTGACTATTCTTATACTGAAATCCTCGTACTTTTTGTTACCTTCAAGCTGAAGCAGCTTTATTATTTTTTTTTTTTTGGCATAAAAATCCTTCTTCTTCCTCCCCTCCCCCCAAAATATGTATGCAATACATTAACCTCCAACCATCAAATAAAAACAATAAGAAACTCAAACTGTAATTTTTCTTAGGTTAGTCTCATATAAGAACGGGCAATTCTCATTTCCTCACTTATTAGCAGAGCAACCTAGATGTCATAATCAACATGATGCAGGTATCTGCAGCTTCAAAGCTTGAGTCCTCCATCTTTTGGCACAGTGCTCCCTTCTCCCAAGCCATTCAAACTCTTTTAAAGCATTTTAGACTTATGTGTTGGATTGAAAGGAAAGAGTTCTTTTAAGTATGAAGAAGCAAATTCCTCTTTTCAAATGCTAAGTAGCAGCATCTCTTTAATCATCTGCAGATGTGTAATGTTCCCACAAATTAACAGTACTTCTTAGGTGCTTTGATCTAATTCCAGATAAAAAGTGTTGTGGATTGTTTGTACTATACTACTGGAAAGGTCAAACTAGAATCATGTTTTGTTTTCCTTTGCAGCATTTCTTCCTAAGGAAAAGTATTCTCACAAAAGAGTTGATTCAATGTAGATGGGGCGAGACAACAGTTAGGAGCTAGCTCCATAATTTTCTTTGTACCACAATGTGTTTTATATGCAGGAAATACTTTCCTGTGTACTCGATGCAAACCTATGTAGAATAATTAAAACTACTTTTCCTATTGTATTTAATATTGAAATATTGCTAGTTTTCATATTTTTATTAAATTCTGTTCATTATGGTCTGACAGGAACATTACAGATAATCTATAATAGCTCAAAGAGTCTCCATGGAATTACATAAGGCAGAAAGGATAATATTTTGGGTTTTGTCATTACGAGATCTTTTTGTGGGCGTGTAGAAAAAAATGAAAACTATTTTTATATTGTGTGTGTTTCACTTACTTGTTTGTTTAAGAGAAAGCTTCCAGATGGTGGAGGAATACCAAACTAAGATTTATTTATTTTTAATGACAAGAAAGTTTTATTGTTAAAAGATGTCTAAATCTTTAGTTATTGGGGTTTTACTTTTCCTGTTCTCCTGAAATCAGATTCAAATGTACATATATCTTTATGTGCCTTTCAAGTCTTCTTATTTTTTTACTTTTTTTTACTGTACTTTGAATTTTTTTTTTTCAGTCATTCGTCTAGCTGTCTCCTAAAGCCTCTGATTCATGTGGTTGCTTCTGTTTTTAACCACAAGCATTTCCTGATTTAGCATTCTTGGGCCTAGCCATCTCCTCCTCACTTGTGGTTCAGAGGGTGGTTATAACTTAGGATTTCTCCTAGTCTGCACTTTCTTTCAAGAAGTGATATCAACAATATTATTGTTGGATTTGCTTCTCTATTTGGCTGAGAAGAGCCTCCGGTTGTTTAGGGTAATAATGCCATTTATCTATCAGACAGTTATTCATTCTTTGTGAGGAATTTGCATATATAAAATACATATGCATAGCTTTTATATTCTAATGTCAATAATTCAGTCTGCCTCAAATTTGTTCCGCATTTAAAATCTATGACATATTTCAAAAGACATTCGCTCTTATATTTCAGTAGTAGGATGTAGCATTTCTGCAGTCATGTTTTGTAACTCATGGTACTTTTAAAAAATACAAACCTTTATGCCTACTTTGCAGCCGAAAGTGGTATCAGGTATCTGAAATAAAAGTTAATGTGATCAAAGCTACATAGGGGGGTCAATTAGAGCCTTAGAATAAAAATCATACAGTTGCAGCAGTTATTGGCTCCCACTAATATGCTGTGTCCATAGGGTCAAGTTGCTGCCCCTCTGAGCAATCACTGCTTTTATTAGTAGTGTCATAGAATGTTGCAGTATAAGAAGGACAATGTTCTATATAGTAAATCAGCTTGGTTATTGCACATTTATAATTAGATATAAACCAACTTGGTTATTGTGCATTTGTTATTAGATATCCGTTAAGAATATTTTTAATCCTTCTTTCCTGAATTAAGTAATTTTGAACTGCATAAAGATGGACAGATAGGGAAGCAGATGCCTGAAGCTTTGAAAATCTCTTTTGTCAGCTGATTGGACTCTAAAAACACTCAAGATGAAATTCCTGAACAAAGTTGTGTTAAGATCATAGTAACATGAGAAACAGAGACACATATTGAGTTGTTTTATTTAGATTGGGTTCAGTATTTTTATTTCTGAGATATGATTTCTAGAAGTCTGTGAAGTACTTCTGATAAAAAACATGTTTATAAAACCAATTGAAATAGCAGTGAACATACTTTCTTTAATGATAAGAAGAGTCACTTAATGAGAGAATATGTAGCTGTACCCTTCTCAGATGTGATAGGACAAGAAACAACTGACACAAGTTGCAACTAGAAAAAATGTGACTTGGTAGTAGGGTAAAAAATGAGTTGCAGAAAGGGTTGTTGAGTTAAGCTGACATACACAAATACTCATTGCTGATGGCCTGTATTGTCGCCTACAGCAAAAGTTAATTTTGAAGGTAAACAAAAGGAGAGAAATGGGTGTAGAGGGGTGGAAAGAAAGAAAAGTGAGAGAGAAGAAAAGTAACGGTCCCCTGTGGTCAGCCAAGAAGGGGAAGTAAGACAAATGTTTCTGATATGAATGTCCTCTCCAGGCACAGAGGTCCCTCCTGTAATATTTTTCCCTTAGTAAACATATGGTTTTCATCAGGACCTGATTATACTCCTTCCTGCTTGATACTATTAATGATACTGATATAATAATAGCACTAACTGAACGCTGCATTGATCGGGGCAGGTGTTACACACCAACTAGTTTAAGCTTTGTGCATGCATATTATTGTATAATACTTCTGTGAATGACTGTTACTTACTTTGTTATTCACTGTTATGTTCTAAGCTAAATTGTACAATATAAAGGGTAAGAAAAAAGTGTGAGTCTTTTGCTCATGACAGTGCCTTCCATAAGAAGCTGTCAAACCAAGAGTAACAGGGTTTGTAAGTGGAAGGCCTAAAGAATTATAGCATTAGCCAAGAATGACAGAATGAGAATGGGAAAATGCCACAGCAGCTGAGATGAAAGTGCAGATGGAAGTCAGACTGCAGGATTGCAAATGTAAGGTATTTTAGAGGTTGAGGGTCTTAAGGCGTAATGTAGCAGAAGGTAATCAATCACCGGAACATGTTGCCCTGCGAGACTGTAGACTCACCATCCTTAGAGGTACTCCAAATTCAACTGGACAAGGCCACAAGCATTTGATTCAATTGAACCTGCTTTGAACAGAATGGACTAGACAACCTACAGGTCCCTCCCAAACTAAATTATTTTATTGATTAGAAGTGCTGGTAAGCTAAGACTGCAACACTAAGAATGCTCTTATGCCTGAGATAGTAAAGACTGTTCTAACTAGTGCTGAACGTTTTATTTGTTTCTTAGAATTTAAAGAGTGGACTCGATCTTGAGGTCTCTTCCAACCTAGAAATTCTGTGATTCTGTGATTCTGTAAATATTAACTGCGCTGGAATTTTCATGCTATCAGTAATAAACTGATTAAATGCCCACAATTCTTCTATTCAAAACTCCAGTTTGAATCGCAATCTAATCCTTCAGCGATTAGGTAAGTTAATGAGTAGAAGGACAAAATTTTCTAGGCTGGGATGCCTCAACTGATTTT